TCCAACAGCACAATGTGACACAACAGATTAGTACCAAGAATTTTCAATTACTCACCTGAAGGGTAAAAATCCTCCAACAGCACAATGTGACACAACAGATTAGTACCAAGAATTTTCAATTACTCACCTGAAGGGTAAAAATCCTCCAACAGCACAATGTGACACAACAGATTAGTACCAAGAATTTTCAATTACTCACCTGAAGGGTAAAAATCCTCCAACAGCAAAATTTGACTCAACAGATTGTTCAGCTAGAAGACCTTAATATACATGAACAGTTTGAGAAAGATAAAAACTTTGTATTTCATTTATTAAGTGAATCTAGTATAAACCCTAAACATTTTCAAGCTAGATTTTCTGCTACGTACTTAGGTATCATGCAAGTTGGGTTGTCTGTATATATTTAAATAGATTTGGTTCAAGCCGTTCAGGATTTTAGAAAAGAAAAAATATGAGATAAACAACAATATATTTTGAAAGGTTTTTACTGTTTGTTCCAAATAAGATTGAAAGTTTATTACTGTTTGTTCCAAATAAGATTGAAAGGTTATTACTGTTTGTTCCAAATAGGATTTCCTTAAAGGACACTAGGTACAGATATTTTTTACCGAGTTAGTTGTATCAGAAGCTCAGTCTCTGAGGGGTAAGGATCGCAATTGAGTTATTGTCTTCTTTAACATGTACTGTGTAGATTCTTAGTGTATAATCACTTCTTGTAACTGTGAAATCATAAGAAGAATAACAACCAGTTGAATTGTGTGACTCTGGTGGTATAGGAATTATATTACAATGTAAACATTTGAGAATCCAGTGCATCAAGTTTACCACAGTAAATTGAAATGTCTGAACACCTAATTCACTTCTTGTTTATGTTTAAATTTCAGTGCCGTATCAGTGGAGCTGTATTACATCTTTGCTACTGTTTGGGGCCGAGAACCATACACCTTGTATGGGGTCTTGTTCGTCGTGTCCATTATCTTAATCAGTGTGACGGGCTGCATCTCTATTGCCCTGACCTACTTCCAGCTGTCAGCAGAGGATTATCGCTGGTGGTGGCGTTCAGTCTGCTCTGCTGGGTGAGTTCCTTCATTTATATAACCTTAGGTGTAAATTTCCCAACCTGAAGCTCGCAGAAGAGAAGTACGAAATGTAGAGAAACATAAAGAAAACATTTTGTATTTATGTCAAGGCTATCCACCACCATTCCTAATTTTGAAGTATGCACATGAGAGAAGGCAGCCAGTCACCCACCATAGCTGTTAAGGGATTGACTTGTCCTTTTTATATTGCTCCAAAAACTCCAGAATCAAGAGGGACAACCTGTGCCCCAAAAGAAATTTTATTAAGATTGTAAATGTTTAAGAAATTACTTCACTGATTTGAACAGTCATGAAACTTTTCCTGCTGTTGACACACAACTATTGTGGAAATGATTGATTAATAAAAAATTCCTTACTCACTCCAAACTACTTCTGTAGTTTATAAACTAATAATATTGGAATAGAATCTATTAATGAACATCTGCTGGTGGAGTTTCTTATGACGTCTGTTGTGTGAGTAACTGGTAGACCCATATAGAAATATAAAAGGATAGATAAAAAAATTGTACAAGAATTTAGAAAGGAAAAATTCATCAGATTGGTATTTTCTGTTAAACATATCTGAAGAAATTTCAATTACAAATCAAGTTTTGCTTCAACCAACTCTAGACAGCACGGCACTAGATTCAAGGTTGTACGGCATAACAAAATGTGGCTTCATCAGCTGAGTGTACATGTTTTACCTTGTCTGTCAACAACAACTCTTACAAAAGCATTAGAAGTAACAATTTGTGATTAAGGTAAAACATGTACACTCAGCTGATGAAGCCTGCTTTTGTAAGAGTTGTTGTTGACAGACTTAGAACTCACTCAAGGACCCTGTTTCAACAAAGTCATGAACTCACTCAAGGACCCTGTTCCAACAAAATATTGGACCCATTTAAGGACCCTGTAGTCAGCAAAATAATGGACCTACTTAAGGACCCTGTAATCTGCAAAATAATGGACCTACTTAAGGACCCTGTAGTCAGCAAAATATTGGACCCACTTAAGGACCCTATAATCAACAAAATCATGAACTCACTCAAGGACCCTATAATCAACAAAATCATGAACTCACTCAAGGGCTCTGTTTCAACAAAGTCATGAACTCACTCAAGGACCCTGTTTCAGCAAAGTCATGAACTCACTCAAGGACCCTGTTTCAGCAAAATATTGGACCCACTTAAGGACCCTGTAATCAACAAATACATGGACCCACAAGCAGTTTGTTGCATAAATAGTTTAAAAATCTACAATTCTGAAAGTTGATGTCTGTGATTTTCTGTTGTTCCTTATTATTCCTCGCTGCATGCACTAGCTTTATTAATTCAAACTTCTAATCTCCAACCATTTTGTAATATCATCGAGCCAAACGAGTCTCTGACTGCTTCTCCCTCTTCTTCCTTTTGATTGACCCATCAAAATTACTGTCAATTTTTCTAATTCAAGCCTGTAATCTCCAACCATTTTGTAATCTCATTGAGTCAAACGAGTCTCTGACTGCTTCTTCCTTTTGATTGACCCATCAAAATTACTGTCAACTTTTCTAATTCAAGCCTGTAATCTCCAACCATTTTGTAATATCATCGAGCCAAACGAGTCTCTGACTGCTTCTCTCTCTTCTTCCTTTTGATTAACCCATCAAAATTACTGTCAACTTTTCTAATTCAAGCCTGTAATCTCCAACCATTTTGTAATATCATCGAGCCAAATGAGTCTCTTACTGCTTCTCCCTCTTCTTCCTTTTGATTGACCCATCATCATCTCTGCCAGATTTACCTTAAATATAATCATGCGCTTGGCCTGGCATGAACTAATGGTTAGAGCACTCGACTCACAAAGTGAGGGTTCGAATCCCATCCCAGAACATGCTCGCCCTTTCAGCTCTGGGGGCGTTATAATATAATGATGAATCCCATCATTCATTGGCCTTTGATGATGTTGACTAGCTTCTTTCTCTCTGGTGTATCACTGATAAATTATGAACAACTAGTGCAGATAACCCTCAGATCAAAAACAAACAAACAAATTATGGGCCCAAAGTAGCACACCTTCTGTTTCTTACGTATGTGCAAGAAACCAAAATATAAAAAAACAGTATGGTCCATATCGATAATCTATAGTTACTGACAAGCTCTTTGATCAACTTTGGATACTAAATACTGTACATAATGTAGATTTTAAAAAGGGTTTAATGACGTTTATAACACGTTGCTCCAAAGTAACACAACAGTATAAAATGAACAATATTTTAATGTGTTGAGTGTAACGACGTTTATAACATGTTGCTCCCAAGTAACACAACAGTATAAAATGAACAATATTTTAATGTGTTGAGTGTAACGACGTTTATAACACGTTGCTCCCAAGTAATAAAACAGTATAAAATGAACAATATTTTAATGTGTTGAGTGTAACGACGTTTATAACACGTTGCTACAAATTAAAACAATATAAAATTAACGATATTTTAATGTGTTGAGTGTAACAACTCGAAAAACTACGTTTATAACATGTTGATCCAAAGTAACACAATTTAGAGTGAACAATAATTTTAAAGTGTTTTAAACACATTTTTATTGTATTTTCACACACTTCAAAGATATTATCCGTTAACTTTAACATGCCCCCACCCAGAGTCACAACAACATGTCTGCGAACTTACAACGCTAGAAACTTGGTCTCAATACCCGTGATGAGCAGATTGTAGGTTGTCCATTGTGTAGCTTTGTGCTTAACTACAAACAAAAAAAAACTTTAACACGTTAAAGATGAGTAAAAAGTGTGACCGTATCTTTATTTGGAACGAAGGAAGTTGTTCAATGGTCTAGTCAGTCAGCCATGACAGTTAAACTCCCCCCCCCTTATTTTTGACGATCTTCTAATCCATTAAACCTTTAGTATCCCCCCCCCCCAACGTTTTTATATGAATATATTTTTCACATCATTGGATAAAAAAAATAATAAAATGACGTAATCTTTCTTAAACCCCATTTGTTTCGAACAGTTTTAAAGAATGCCTGATTGACAATACAAAATGGGCACCGGTATCGTTTTCTTATGTTAGGTTTAACATGCCTCGGTCAGGTGTTTACTAAAGATTTATATTTAGAATCCAAAACTTGTATGGTGTGGAGCAAACAAGAAAAGTCGAGAATAAACACGTTTTCTCATATTAGAAAATCTTTTGCTCCGACACATCCGTTCGAAGCATGCTTGTTTACCTCATCTGATATGAGATTGTACATACAGTATTTTTTTTTTTGTTTGAACTAATTTCAAGTACCGTCTGGCATGTGATTTCTTACAATAGCCTATACGCATGTGGGAAATCAAATCTTCTAGTAACGTCTTAAACACAATTATTTGTCCTTTAACGCGAAATACTTTACAGGCTCTCTCACCGCTGGTTGATAAATTATAATAATCTGACATCATGTTGAATTTATACACTTTGCTTCCATTCGTATGATCGTGTTGAGTTTGTAAGGCTCATTGTTTTCATTCCTGTGTTCGTGTTGAGTTTGTAAGGCTCATTGTTTCATTCCTGTGTTCGTGTTGAGTTTGTACAGTTCATTGTTTCCATTCTACTGTTCGTGTTGAGTCTGTACGGTTCATTGTTTCCATTCCCGTGTTCGCGTTGAGTTTGTACAGTTCATTGTTTCCATTGTACTGTTCGTGTTGAGTTTGTACAGTTCCTTGTTTCCATTCCCGTGTTCATGTTGAGTTTGTACAGTTCATTGTTTCCATTCCTGTGTTCGTGTTGAGTTTGTACAGTTGTCTCTCTAGAGGCGGTCTGGGGAGATGTCCTTTGGAAACTTTTAAGTAAAGAAGTCACAGATGGTGCATTCTCAAAGCTTAAATGATTATGCAGGAATTTGTTTATCAGTGACACTGTAGCATAAAATTATGCTACTTCTCTTAAAAGACAGCGACGCCATTACTCTGCGTGCCGGAAAACGGCTCACATGGTTACGTTCACTGCGCATATCCTGACGCGCATTTACCGGAAGTAAACAATCGCAGCCGATATGTTTTGCAGAAATGTTTGTTGACTTATAAATACTTTAAAGACGATCGTAAAATGTATAAGTAACTTTTGGAAAACTAAATACTTTGAAGAACGAAACGGCTATCTGGCGAAATAAGTGGGCCATTTTTTGTGGGTCGCCGCCAAAATAAAAAACAAAACACATTTTTTATTAGGCCTTATTTACGAAATGTAAAACTGAGATGGCGCTATTGAATATTAGTTGTTGAATCTAAAAAAAAAACACGATATTGTAGGTTTGAGATGCTCAGTATATGACTCATGTAAAGCGCCATCTTGCGCCATACACACTGTAAAATTAAAAGTTTTTAGCTTTAATTTTACTTTTCTCCACAAAAGGGGTCGTTGTTTACTTTAACATGTGCGTCACATATTCAAATAGCAAAATTATACAGTTTCTGCTGTTACTTTTTTGTAATATTCAACACGTCTAGCCAACACTTCAGCATTAAATTATTGTTTGGCGATTTGCCAAAGAAAGAGGGGGAAACGTTTGTTAATTAAAGACGATTTGTGTTCGACCAAATATTCAACTGGCCGATTGCCACTGAACAATTTGTTACACTTGTCTGGGAGCTTGTGCTGAAGACCGACTTCCGGTATGGGGAACGCAAAACTTATCGTGAGTGTATCTGTAATGACACATCGTGTGTTCCAAATGTTAAGAAATTAGACACAGAGCCTATTCTGTTAGATTGATATCGGTTGTTAAGATTGGATAAAGAAAATCGAATGGTCACTTTGAACTGTACGTTAAATAGGCGCGTGCTTCCGCTATATCAGGTTCAAAATTTAACAATAGTTTTATTTTCAATAAAAGCTGCTGATGATATCAAACATACACACCTAGTCCCACAAAACATTTTCCATTAATCAAAATAATGGCCGAATAACGGCACTCGACTCGCAATCTGAGGGTCGCGGGTTCGAATCCCCGTCACAC